TCTAGCACTGGGTCCTGGTGGCAGAGCCTCCACACCTCTCCCCAAAGCCGGACACCCCAGACTCTCCGTGGGTGAGTCCAGTCTTCACATTCTCCCTCTGCCTGTGGGTGAGTGGCTGAAAACAAGTTTTGTGTGTTGACCCTTTATTAATTTATTTCAATTATTTTAAAAAAATATTTTAAATTGATTTCAGAGAGGAAGGGAGGGGTAGAGAGAGAGAGAGAGAGAGAGAGAGAAACATTAATGATGAGAGAGACTGCTTCCTGCATGCCCTGCACTGGGGATCGAGCCTGCACCCCAGGCATTTGCCCATGACCAGAATCGAACCTGGGACCCTTCAGTCCACAGGCTGACACTCTATCCACTAGGGCAGTGGTTCTCAACCTTCTGGCCCTTTAAATACAGTTCCTCATGTTGTGGTGACCCCCAACCATAAAATTATTTTCGTTGCTACTTCATAACTGTAATGTTGCTACTGTTATGAATCATAATGTAAATATCTGACATGCAGGATGGTCTTAGGCTACCCCTGTGAAAGGGTCGTTCGACCGCCAAAGGGGTCGCGACCCACAGGTTGAGAACCGCTGCACTAGGGCTTTTTATTGTTTTTTTTTTGTTAATCCTCATCCAAGGATATTTTTTCCATTGATTCTTTTTTTAAAAAAAATATATTTTATTGATATTTTACAGAGAGGAAGGGAGAGGGATAGAGAGTTAGAAACATCGACGAGAGAGAAACATCGATCAGCTGCCTCCTGCACACCTCCTACTGGGGATGTGCCCACAACCAAGGTACATGCCCTTGACTGGAATCGAACTTGGGACTTTTCAGTCCACAGGCTGACGCTCTATCCACAGAGCCAAGCCGACTAGTGCAGTTCTTGCCCCTTTTATATGAAATTGAAGAGACCTTAGAAAAGAGAAAAATCTAGGTGCCCTATGGATGGGGCTGGAGCTGTCCAGGACCCAGTGCTGAATTCACAGCACCTCTCAGGATTAACATACAAATAGAAGAGAATTAGGGGAGATGGTGGTGGTCCATGGTCTTAAGATAAACATCCTGGATACACACCCACATTCCTGGTTAAGGCTGGGCCAGGTCTGGGTCAGCTCGACCTCTTGAAAAAGATGAGCTGTCCTGACCTGTGGATTCTGTGATGACAACTATGTGGTATCAGGTTCACTCTCTTCATTTGTCCGGAAAAGGAGTGAACTCCCTGTGGAAGTTTTTATAGCAGAGGTTTTGATGACTTATTTTTCAGTTGTTAAGGTGAAGCTCAAGAGGCAAGTTCACAGGATGTGGTGGGCAGAGTCCCCACACCACAGTGTGTGCAGGGCACAAGGAGCTGGTCACACAGGAAGAGGACCAGCTCTCCTCACCCCCAAAATAGCAGGTGCTGAGGGTCTGACTTGAGCCACATCTCTAAACTGTCCTGTGTAGTTTTCCTAAACTCTACAATCACATATTGATTTTAACATAGCTTGCTGCCATGTGAAAGTCAAAACAATTATTCCATTTATAGTATTTAATATTCTGGTGCTACACTAATGAATAAAATGGTTAAGGATATGAAACAATTTTCAGCTGAAATATGAAATTCTCTCCCACTGAATATCTATTAGGCCTTCTACTAGTTGCACATATAACTCTCCTGACAACAAAAAGCAGAGTGGCAGTTGGATTCTGCATCTCTAGCAGAGAAGGAAACCTACAATATCAAGTGTTTGTTGTTTTACGGAAATCATTTTTTGTGTGCATTGTGGGGAAGCACAGGGCTTGGTTGGAAAGTCTCTAAGGAGGGTTCTCTGATAGGTCAGAGGCCTCTAGGCAGTGGTTCTTAACCTTCCTAATGCCACGACCCTTTAATACAGTTCCTCATGTTGTGGTGACCCCCAACCATAAAATTATTTTTGTTGCTACTTCATAACTGTAATTTTGCTACTGTTATGAATCGTAATGTAAATATATGATATGCAGGATGTATTTTCAGGGGTCACGACCCACAGGTTAGAGTCCGGGGAACCTTGCCCAAGGCGGCAGACCCTGCCTTGACCTTTCCAAACAAGTCTGAGTCTCCGGGTGTTTTGCTGGAATCTTTATGTTTAGACTTCAAAACGTCCTTGCAAAAAGGACGCATATGCTTTCTCAAGGATGCTCACCCTGCTGATAGTATCTAGTAGTTTATTTTAGTTCAAACTGTTATTACAATAAAAGCCTAAGGAGGCAGGCGAATGGGGCTTCCTGGTTGCTATAGCCAAGCAGTCCCTTAGCCCTCTCTTTCACAGAAACATGTATCAGAGTAATCCATTCATCTGTCGTTCAGGATCTGCTGTTCAGTCACGGCAGTGTACGAGTCAAACCACAGTTTCTTCTATCAGAGATCAGAGAGAGGAGAGAGGGGAGGAGAGAATGAGACACAGTGAATTAGTTTGGTACATTTGTCACAACAAAATACAATTAATTAGGTGGCTGAAGACAACAGAAATTAATTTTATTAGAGTCTGGAGACGAGAGAGATTCATTGACGGATGGAGATAGAAATAGATAGACGATAGATCAGCCGTGGGCAAACTACGGCCCCGCGGGCCGGATCCAGCCCGTTTGAAATGAATAAAACTAAAAAAAAAAAAAGACCATACCCTTTTATGTAATGATGTTTACTTTGAATTTATATTAGTTCATACAAACACTCCATCCATGCTTTTGTTCCAGCCCCCTGGTCCAGTTTAAGAACCCATTGTGGCCCTCGAGTCAAAAAGTTTGCCCACCCCTGCGATAGATAGATAGATAGATAGATAGATAGATAGATAGATAGATAGACTGAAACACAGATATATAGACACACAAATATTATACAAAGGGATACATAAGTAGGTGTATAGATTTGCAACTTCCCAACATATGCTATCATCAGTCTCCATTACCTGCCCTGCTCTCTAGGTAAGGTTTTCTTACATCAGGCCCAAGGGTAACTTTTCCCAACTTTACTGAGATGTAATTGACATATAACATTGTGTAAGGGTTAGGTGACAACGTGTGGATGTGATACATGTAAATATTGCAATATGACACAAGGTCAGCCTTAGCTAAAAATCCCATTGAAAAGTCACATAATTGCTCCTTCTTTTGGTGGTGAGAGCCTTTAGGATACAATCTCTTAGCTACTTTTGGGGTGATATGATACAGTATTGTTTACTGTGATCACCATACTGTACATCAGCCCCTCAAATTGTTCATCTTATCACTGAAAGTCGATACTCTTTCACCAACATCTCTTCTTTCCCTACACTCCCTGTGGTAGCCATCATTCTTCTCTCTGTTTCTACTAGTTTGGCTTTTTCAGATCCCACACATACGTGAGATTAATCAGCATCTGTCTTTATCTGTCTGATTGATCTCACGTAGCATAACGCCCTCCAGGTTCCTCAGGGTCATTACAAATGGCAAGGTTTTCTTCTCTCTTGTGGCTGAATAATAATCAATTTTATGTTGATTCAGAAATGGGCATCTCCCACCAGTCAGAGTGTTCTGCACATGTGCTTGCAGGGGCAGCACTCCCCCAGACAGTCCCCACAAACACCGACGTGCTGATGCCACATGGGGGCAGCTCTGGGGAAATGACACGGGTGGCATCTGGTGAGGAGAAGAAAGACTGTGGGTCCAGGGAGGGTTCGGGCATCATGTTGGATTTTTAATTCCCAGGCTTGCACCCGGCTTAGCCCATTTATTCAGTTATGGAGCCCAGGTTAACTCCTGTGAACTGAAGAGGTGAAGAATCAATAATGTCCATCTGGTAATGTGGTGATTAGAAATAAAGAATATTTTATTACATGAACGTGGGGGGCATGAGGCATTAGATGTGGGGACCTACACCAGCCATGTGGGATGGACCCTCAAGTTAAGGGTTGAGAAAAGAAGGGGGGGTCATCACAGAAAGTTAACCAAGACAGGTAGAGAAAATAGACATTAAATGGAGGAAGAGTCCAGGGAACACACAGACATTTCCTTCACCCAAATCATGTTTATTCCCCTGGACATTCCCAGAAGACAGTTTCCCCAACTATGGTCCCGACTTTCCTTCAGCACCTCCTGGGATCATGAGATGGGCTCCAAGGCCCCCTATCTCTGAATAGTGCACTGTTCCCTCTGTGTTCACGTCTTGGCTGCATCGTGGGTCCTTTTCAGGCTGTTTTGAGCCTCAAATAGCAGCATCCCAAGCACCACCAGGACCAAGCCAGCCACGCCCATCCGGATGGAATTCCCCACGGTGTAGTCTTGGGGGTGGGAGGTGAACAAAGAGGTCACAGAGATCAGAGCGGACCAAAGTCACCCCAGAAACCCTGGATGTCCACCCAGGACACCCACTGCCCTTTGACAGGACATGACCTTCTACCCCCAGCCCCATAACTGGGATGTCTCCCACTCACCCATCTTGAGGTCTGACCTATTTGGTGACAGGCTGAGGGTGTCAGCTGCTCCTGAGAATCATGACATGAGGGTGTGAGTGAGGACCTGGGGAGACAGGAGTTTTCCTCCTGGGCCCAGTGCTCTCAGATGCCCCACTTCTCAGATGATGACTTTTACACCATCCCTCCATGAGCCTGTCTCTACTAGGCCGGGTTCCATGGGCTCTTCGTTGGATAACTCAGCCTCCTGTGATCCCTGAGTTCAGAACTTGTTCTGAGTGACTTCGGTAAGAGCTGTACTTCTCGAGTTGAGGATGATGGAAAACAATGATCTCAATGCAGAAATAATTTGAAGTTGTGTGTTTCATGTCTTGTTGGAGACACAGAACTCATAAGGCTAAGCACCTACAACTGAGAGCTCCCACTAAGTTGACAGCTGAGGACCCAGGGTCCATGGAGGAAGGGTTGGTGGCAGGGGATTCAGAATATCTTGTCAATGGCAAACCCCTAGGCCTCCGCACTTCTTACTGTCTGAGAATCTCCAGAGACAGGGCCCCGAGGTGACAGCTCAGCAACAGGGTCAGGGCCCTCACCTGAGACCAGGAGCTCCAGGGGATCACTGGGGAGTGACAGCAGGAAGGGGGAGGAGCTGTGTGAGCTGTAGCACCTGTAGGTGCCCCCGTGGGCTGAGGTCACAGGGCTCATGGAGAACTCTGCCTGGAACTGCTGAGCTCGGTGCTTTGATCTCAGACCCAGGGGGGCAACAGCTGCACCCTCTTTGGACAGAAGGAAAGTGTCCCTCGGGCTCTGTGACTGACACAGCAGGGTCACGTTCTCTCCTGAGGCCACCCTGGGGCCTGGCTGCACTGAGAGGGAGGGTCTGTCAGGCAGGTGTCCTAGAGAGAGGGAGGGAGGGTGAGGGCTGCCTGCCCACCTTGTTCTGACCTGAGAGTCACCAGGCCTCTCTCTGAGGACCCTCCTCTCTGTCTGTCTCTGTTTCTCTGAGTCTCCCTTCTCCCCTTCCACCCACTTGCCTCACTCTGTCTCTCTCCCTCCCTGGGGCCCTGCACCTTCATTCTAGCCTCACCACCTGGGACCCCTGCAGGACCTGTACAGAGTCTGGGTCCCTGATTGAACCCACTGGCTCCTCACCTGCCACCAGGATGTCCAGGGGGTCACTGGGGGCCGACCACGCAGAGGAGAGTTTGTATCCACCGTAGCATCTGTACTGGCCCCCGTGGGAGCTGCTTTCAGTGTCTAGAAGGAAGTTGGCTTGAGAGAGCCCAGCCTGGGGCTGCTGTACAAGACTCTGGAGGAGGTCCCATCCCCCCTCCTTGTGCAGAGCGAATCTGTCATAGCCGACATCAGAGCGACACTGGAGGGTCAGGCTCTGTCCAGAGGCCACGATGGGGCCCTGCTGGCTCAGGAGGGAAGGCTTCCCAGACTCACCTGGGGAGACCAGACATGAGTTATAGGGGTTGTTCCTCCCATAAGCCTCCTTCTCCCATCCTGGCATCCAGGTCTCACTGTTGCTATGTTTCTGACTCATGAGCCCCTTTGCTCCACTCACCTCACCCTCTCACATGGGGCTCCCCTCAGAGCAAGGATCCCAATAATGTGATTGCTGCCTCAATCCTTGGGTGAGACAATAATGGGACTCACCTGGGACCAGGAGCTCCAGGGCATCACTGGGTGGTGACCACACCTGCAGGTTCTCTCTGTAACAGCCATAGCATCTGAATGTCCACCTGTGGCTGCGGGTCACAGGGCCCACAGAGAACTTGGCCCGTGATGTTTCTCTGGGCTGTGGCTGTGTGTCCTGCATCCAGGAGAGCCTGTGATCTCCTTCCTTAGTCAGAATGAACCTGTGAAATCCCTGCCATGAGCTACACTCAAGGGTCACATTTCCCCCTGAGGTCACGACAGGGCTGGGCAGGGCTGAGAGGCTGGGTTCATGGTAGTATCCTAGGAGAGACAGAGACTGTATGACTGTATGTTAAATGGATCTCATGTCCCCCAGAGCTGGGCTGTGAGAGGGAGACACCCTGAGAGCAGACCCCCTTCCTGAGGGCAGAGCCTGAAGCTGGGACCCCTGAGTGTCCTCTCACCTGTCACCACCAGCTCCAGGGGGTCACTGTGCTCTGTCCAGCCAGTGGGGCTGAGGTAGTTACAGTGATATCTCCCTGCATCATGCTCTGCCATGCGTGTGATGGAGAATTTGCCCTTGTTCGTGGGCTTCCATTGGCTCGGTGTGTTCCATTCCACCTGTTTTCCTTCCTTGTAGAGTTGAAACATCTGGGCCTCCAGGGTTCCCTCACACCAGAGGGTCACAGGGCTCCCATAAGAGATCACAGAGCCTGGCTCAGCCGAGAGGGTGGGTTTGGGGAGGGTCCCTGGAAGGAAACCAGAAGCTGCATTACAAAGCCCTTCCCCACCCTCATCCCCCAGCTCATCCAGCACCTCTGTGCTCCCTCCTGAGCCCCAGGGGTGAAGTAATAGGTGGGACATGGAGTCTGGGGAGGACTCACCTGCCTGCACACACGTTCTCTGGTCCAGACTCAGCCCTGGAAGAGAGTGTCTGTGAGAGGTTTGCACCTGGACGTTGTAGCTCATTCTCTCTTCTCATGGCCCCATCTACTCGAGCTGCCTGAGCCTGAGCCTGAGGTTCCCCATGAACAAGGGTTATAGCCACCCCATCCCCTCCTCCTTCCCCTCCCCGTGTCCACAACTGACCGAGGCAGAGAAGAGCAGAGAGGATGGACGTCATGGCGTCTGCTCTGAGGGCTCCTGCTCTGCAGATGGAGGAGTCCTGGGCCTGAAGGACAGAGACACACAGGATGTGGTGGGTCAGGAGTTGCTGCCACCCTTCCGGGCCCTCAGAGCTGTGAACCCACAGCAAGAAGACCACCCCGCCCTCGGCCTGGGTGTGGGTATTTCCATGATGAGAACTCAGGAGGACTATAGGCCATTGTAGACTCTCAGCCCAGATCTGGGGTCTTTTATGACTCCCAGGACTCTCTGCCTGGTCCGAGCTCCTGCTCAGAGAGGGCAGGACTCAGGTTCTCATCCTGAGTCCACCCTCAACAGGCTGGCTCTATATGCATCTCACTACCTGTTTCTCAGCCTCACACAAAAAGAATTCTCTTTCTGTCCTTGATGGGTCCATAAACAAGTATTTACTAATCACCTGCTAGGAATTTATCCAGGTACTAGAAATACATCCGTGATGCAGGAGATCCCTTTCTTGTATTTTGAGAACTCTAATTAGTAGACTCGGGTATTCTAAGGCTAATGTTGTAATTCATTGTTTACAAAGGAGAAAATTAAAAAAAATATGATAACAACTGGGACCATGTCTAGACTGTGTTTGAAGGATCGGCTGTGTGAGTAGGTGGAGACCTAAGAGGTGGAGTGAGAACATTCTAGAGAGGAAAGAATGTTCTTAAGACCCCTGGACACACACAGATGGTTTGAAAGGGAGGAAGAGAGAGGGAGGTGGTGGCTGGTCATGGGTGTGGTGATCACCACACAAGGGCATGGGATGATGTCTTTAACACAAAGGGAATATATAAGAAGCAAACTGTTTAATCAGATCATCTTATAAAATCCTATGTGCCACGTATTACCAATAAACTAGAGAAGTGCAATATTTGTCAATAAAAATAAAATATCAACAGTAATTAAATTCTAATATTGTGTGCTAAATGTTAGCTAAACCGCTTATATGGATTTGTTACATACTCATCGCTTACCCATCGTCAGTCACAAGCACATGTAGAGAAGAGCAATGAGAAGTAGGAGTCTAGTCCAAGCTGGGGGTGAGGGAAGGGATTTGTGAGGTCTAAAAACAGGTTTGTGAAAGAATGGAATGGTTGAATGGAAGTTCCATTTTTTAATATCTTTAACATTAATCAATGGTGTTGGGAAAATTGGCCAGGTACATGTAATTCTCCATTCTCACTTTGCTGAGAGTTTTTTTTTTTTTTAAATTTTATCATCAATGGGTGCTGGATTTTGTTGCATGCTTTTTCTGATTCTATTGATATGATCATGTGATTTTTATTCTTCATGTTGTTTATGTGGTGTATCATGTTTATTAATTTATTAATTTGTGAATATTGAACCATCCTTGCATCTCCAGAAACAGTGCTATTTTCTTTCCATACCGAGATTTAATTTCTCTGATGACCCCCTTTTTTTTCTTACCCCAATATGTGAGGGTTTATTCCACGTGACTGGTTTGGGTCCACACATCTAAAAGCTCATACTTTGTTATACCTTTTTGTTGTTGTTTAAAAAATTTACACGTATTGAGGTGACATTGTTTAATAAATTATATAAGTTTCAAGTGTACAATTTTATAGTACATCTGTATATTTTTACATAATAAGATGTTCTTTATTTTATTTTTAATGTTTTTATTGATGTCAGAGAGGAAGAGAGAGTGAGAAAGAGGTAGAAACATCAATGATGAGAGAGAATCACTGATCAGTTGCCTTTTGTAAATTAGTAATCCACACATGAAACCTATTTGTTCATGTTGACTAATGTTATCCCAATAAAATAAAAAAAAAGTATTTTATTACATAACAGTGGGGGAGAGTATGAGGTGTTAGAGGAGGGGACCCACACCAGCCATATGGATGGACCCCCAAGTCACAGGGGTGAGAAAAGAAGGGGGTTTGTCACAGAAAGTCAACCAAGATAGGGAGAGAAATACACTTTAATGGGGGGAAGAGTCCTGTACAGGGAACACACACACAGACATTTCCTGCATCCAAACCACATCTACTCTCAGCAGATGGTTCCAACTGCTGGTCCCCACTTTCCTTCAGCACCTCCTGGGATCATCGGATGGGCTCCAAGGCTCCCCCTTTCTGAACCGTGCAGTGTTCCCTTTGTATTCACTTCCCCATTGCTCCCCTCCATCCGTTTCCTGCCCCCCCCCCATACCTTCACCACCCTGTTGTCTGTGTCTATATGCATATAAGTCCTTAGGTTAATCTCTTACTGCCTCTCCCAGCTTCCCTCTGAGATCTATCAGTCTGTTCCATGCATCTATGCCTCTGGACCCATGTTGTTTGTCATTTATTTTCTTCATTAGATTCCACATATAAGAGACAACATGTGATATTTGCCTTTCTCCGGCTGGCTGATTTCACTTAGCATAATAATCTCCAGGAATCTCCATGTTGTCTCAAAGGCTAAGAGTTCCTTTATTTATTTATTTTTTTACAGCTGTGTAACATTCCATTGTGTAAATGTATCACAGCTTTTTTATCCACTCATCTACTGATGGGCTCTTGGGAAGTTGTAAATAACGCTGCTATGAACATAGGGGTGCATATTGCATATATTCTTTCTGATTGGTATTTCTGGTTTCTTCCTAGAAACAAAGGGAAAAATAAACAAATGGGATGACATCAAGGGGCTTCTGCAAAGAAAACCGGCTGAAGAGGGACCCCACTGTATGGGAGAAGATATTTGCTAATGATACATCTGATAAGGGGACAATTTCCAAAATATATAAAGTTCTTATATAACTCAACAAAACGAAGGCAAATAATCCAAATAAAACAGGAGCAGAGGGTCTGAGTAGACACTTATCCAAAGAGGACATACACATGGCCAAGAGGCATATGAAAAAATGCTCAACATCATAAATCATCAGACATGCAAATTAAAACGACAATGAGGTACAACCTTACACCTGGCAGAATGGCTACCATCAATACATCAATGAACAACAAGTGCTGGCGAGGATGTGGAGAAAAGTGAATCTTAGTGCACTGCTGGTGGGAATGCAGACTGGTGCAGCCACTATGGAAATCAGTATGGATTTTTCTCAAAAAAATTAAAATGGAGATGCCTTATGACCCAGTGATCCTCCAGAACCTCTTGGTAGTGTCAGATCTATTTCCAAGGTTCTGCCTCGCTGGACGATGGGTTTGTTGTCTTTTGCGTTTATGTCCCAGCTACACCATGGGGCCTTCTCTGACGATGCCAATCCTGATACAGCAACACCCCAATGACCACCAGGACCAAACCAGCCACGCCTATCCGGATGAGATTCCCCACTGTGTAGTCTTGGGGGGTTGAAGCTGGAAGTTGTGGACAGAGAGGTCACAGAGGTCAGGGTAATATCAAACCAGCCCAGCATCCCTAGATGTGTATCCAGGTCATCTGACTTCCACTGACTGGATTTGACCCTCTGCACTCAGCCCCATCACTGACAATTTCCCACACTCACCTGCCTTGGAGTCTGAATTGTTCTGTGACGGTCCCAGGGGATCAGCTGCTCCTGAGAACCAAACACACACAGTGTGGGGTGAGGAGGTGTGGGAATGCTTAAGGCATCTCTTCTCTGATCTCCAAGGAGTTCCCAAACTAATAATGTCCATCTCAACCCCTTGAGATGAGCACCTTTGGTGTCTTGTCTTGTAAGTAAGTGCGATGCAAATAGGAACATCTGGGGCTTCATTGTGTCTTGAGATCAGGAACGTGAAGGAGTGAAGGGCTGGATCTACCTTTTAGTTCCTCCACCTCAGCCGGCTCTTTGTGTCTCTGACTTTGGATTATAATTATAGTGACACTGTCAGTGCTATAGAGGGGACAGGCCCAATAATGCCACTTCCTGGGGGTTCACTGTGAGGCCCCCTCTCCTAGGAGCTCAGACCCAGAACTGACAGGAAATGTAAGCTCTGAGCCACGATTCTCTCCTTTTACACCTGGAACCACTGAGGTCCAAGTCAGCACCTCCACAGGTGCCTGAACCCCCACATGACTCAGCCACTGTTCCCCACGGAGACACCACCACCTCCCCACAGAGACCCCCACTTACTCGTCTGTTGGCCCGACACCGTGGTAGGGAGGGGAGGATCCTCAGAGCCTCCTGGGGATCAGAATGAAGGGTGAGGGTTTGGTGCTGCCTTTTCCCCACTTGAGCCCGGCTTCTCCTCCTCAGCCTGAGCCCCAACATCTCCCTCTGCCATGACCATCTCTGCTGTCCTCGCCCTCACTTACCCCTCTGCAGGCCTGACCCTATGCTGGGAAGGAGGGAGTCCTCGAGCCCCTGGCCCGGGTGGTTCCGTAAAATCCCTCCCTGAGTCCCAGCTCTCCTAGGACTCAGCCTGTTTGTCCTTGAGATCTGAGGTCCCTTCTGACTCCTGGGAATCTCTGCCTGGTCTGAACTCAGAGTTGGGCCTCTAAGCCCCCTCAGAGCAAAACCCCCCAGTAACTCACGAGCTGTGGACAGGAGCACTGTGGGTAGGGGGCGGGGTTCATAGAGGGTCCAGCATGAGGACAGAAGGAGGGGAAGACCTGGGTGGTCCCTGGGCCCCCCAAAACTCAGGCTTTTCTCCTATGTCTGTGCTGTGGCCCAGTCAAGGCCCAACTGCTGCTCACCTGGCACCTTCTAGACCCAGGTAAAGGGCAGGGAAGTACAAAGGTAGCAGGGTGTCTGAGGGGCAGATGTCCTCTGAGTGACCATCCCTAGAGCCCCTCCCTCCCTTTCAGTTCATAGTTCTTCTGGGGACAGGACCCTGAGCTGACAGCTCAGCAGACAGGTCAGGGGCCCCTCACCTGAGACCAGGAGCTCCAGGGGCTCACTGGGAAGTGACAGCAGGAAGGGGGAGGAGCTGTTTGAGGTGTAGCACCTATAGGTGCCCCCGTGGGCTGAGGTCACAGGACTCATGGGGAACTCTGCCTGGAACTGCTGAGCTCGGTGCTTTGATCTCAGACACAGGGGGGCATCCACTGCCCCCTCCTTGGACAGAAGGAAAGTGTCCCTCGGGCTCTGTGACTGACACAGCAGGGTCACCTTTCCTTCAGATGGCACCCTGAGGCCTATGTGCACCACCACTGATAGAGATGGTCTGTCAGGCAGGTGTCCTAGAGAGAGGGAGGGATTAGGGCTGCCTGCCCACCGTGTTCTCCCCTGAGAGTCACCAGGCCTCTCTCTGAGGACCCGTCACTCTGTCTGTCTCTGTTTCTGAGTCTCCCCTCTCTCCACCCAACTCCTGCCTCCCTGTCTCCCTCCCTCCCTGGGACCTGCACTTTCATTCTGGCCTCACTACCTGAGACCCCAGCAGGGCCTGTGCAGAGTCTGGTCTCTGACTGAACCCACTGGCTCCTCACCTGCCACCAGGATGTCCAGGGGGTCACTGGGGGCCGACCACTCAGAGGAGAGGTTGTATCCACCGTAGCATCTGTACCGGCCTCCATGCAAGCTGCTCACAGTGTCCAGGGGGAAGTGGGTCTGAGAGAGCCCAGCCTCGGGCTGCAGGACAACCCTCTGGGGGAGGTCCCATCCCCCCTCCTTGTGCAGAGCGAATCTGTCATAGCCGACATCAGAGCGACACTGGAGGGTCAGGCTCTGTCCAGAGGCCACGATGGGGCCCTGCTGGCTCAGGAGGGAAGGCTTCTCAGACTCACCTGGGGAGACCAGACGTGAATTACAGGGCTGCTCCTCCCATAAACCCCTTCTACTGGCCTAGCCTCCCGGTCTCATTGTCTCTCTCTGTGTCTCTGATCCATGGACCCCTGTACTCCCTCACGCCATCCTCTCCCATAGGGCTTCCTTCACAGCAAAGATGCCAATAATGTGTCTGGTGCCTCGATCCATGATGAGACAATAATGGGACTCACCTGAGACCAGGAGCTCCAGGGAGTCACTGGGGTGTGACCACACGTGGGGCCTGTCCCTGTAATAGCCATAGCATCTGAACGTCCACCTGTGGCTGCGGGTCACAGGGCCCACAGGGAACAGGGTCTGGAACTGCCCACTGGACTGTGGCTGTGAGTCCAGGGTCCAGGAGAGCCTGTGATCTTCTTCCTTAGTCAGCATGAACCTGTGAAACCCCTGCCCTGAGCCACACTGGAGGGTCACCTTCCCCCCTGAGGTCAGGACAGGGCTGGGCAGGGCTGAGAGGCTGGGTTTGCTGTAGGATCCTAGGAGAGGAGGAGACAGCATCTTAGATGGGCTCACACCTCCCTCATGTCCCCCAGGGCTGGGCTGTGAGAGGGAGACACCCTGAGAGCAGACCCCCCTCCTGAGGGCAGAGCCTGAGGCTGGGACCCCTGTGTGTGCTCTCACCTGTCACCACCAGCTCCAGGGGGTCACTGTGCTCTGACCAGCCTGTGAATCTGACATAGTAACAGTAGTATCTCCCTGCATCATGCTCTGTCATGCGTGTGATGGAGAGCTTGACCTTGTCTCTGGGATTCCACTTAGTCTGTGTTTTCCAAAGCACATGTTTTTGTTGTCTATACATACAGAACTCCTGGGCTTCCAGGGTCCCCTGACACCAGAGGGTCACAGGGCTCCCATAAGGGATCACAGGGCCTGGCTCAGCCCACATAGTGGCTTTGGAGAGTGTCCCTGGAGGGAAAACAGAGGCTACATTACAAAGACATTCCAAAATCCCCATCTCTCAGCTCATCCAGGACCTCTGTGTTCCCACCTGAGCCCCAGGGGTGAAGTGACCGGTGGAACATGAAGCCTGGGGAGGACTCACCTGCCTGCACGTGGATGATCTGGCCCAGACTCAGCCCTGAAAGAGAGTGTCTGTGAGAGGTTTGCACCCAGATGTCTGAGCTGATTCCCTTCCCATCAGGCCCTGTCCACTCGAGCTGCCTGAGCCTGAGGTTCCCCATGAACAAGAGGATGCAGCTGCCCCTCCTGCTTCCCCTCCCCGTGTCCACAACTGACCGAGGCAGAGAAGAACAGAGAGGATGGACATCATGGTGTCTGCTGTGACGCTCCTGCTCTACAGATAGAGGAGGCCTGGGCCTGAAGGACAGAGATGCACAGGATGTGGTGGGTCAAAAGCTGCTGCTGTCCTTCCGGGCCCTCAGAGTTGTGAACCCACAGCAAGCAGACCGCCCCGCCCCTCCCCCCAGGCCTGGGTCAGAGTTTTTCCATGATGAGGCGTTTGGAGACTCTCAGCCCAGATCTGTGGTCTCTTCTGACTCCCAGGACCCCCTGCCTGGTCTGACCTCCTGCTCAGAGAGGACAGGACCCAGGTTCTCACCCTGAATCCACCCTCAACAGGCTGGCTCTACCTGCAGCTCACTACCTGTGTCCTCAGCCACCCCCAAAGGGAATTCTCTTTCTGCCTTTGACGTATCCATAAACAAGTATTTACTGCTCACCTACCACCTGCCGAGTACTTGTATCAAGAACAGAAATATATCCATGATCCAGGTGACCCATTTCCTGTATTTCGAGAACTCTGATTAGTAGACTAGGGCATTCTAAGGCTAATGTTGTAATTCATTGTTTATAAAGGAGAAATTTAAAAAGTATGCGAACTGGACTAGACTATGTCTAGACTGTGTTTGAAGGAACGGCTGTTTGAGTAAGTGGAGTGTGTTCATTTTAGAGAGGAAAGAACATTTTAGATCCCCTGGACACATACAGACTATCTGAAAGGGAGGAAGAGAGAGGGAGGTGGTGGCTGGTCATGGGTGTGGTGGTCACCACACAAGGGCATGGTGTATTATCTTTAACACAAAAGGAATATATACTGGTAAGAAGCAATCTGTTTGGTCAGATCATCTTATAAAATCCTATGTGCAACTTTGTGGGGTGCGGTTACGGTGTTTTGGCCAGGTTTAAGCCTTGGACTAATGAAAGGACAGGGTCCTCTCATTGCCACGTGCAAGTCCCAGCTAGAGGACAGGGCCCTCCCAGCACAATTATAGCCAATGGCTGTGGTTGTAGGCTTGAACCTATGGTCCGAACACGTAGCCCCACGTGCCTTGTGATAGAGCTTGGGTGCATGTAGTTGAGTGAGGTTGAAACTCACGAGAATACTGTAAACAACTTCATCACGCCCCTACTTTGCCTCGTGGCATCTACTATAAAATAAAGACATGGTTTGTGGGCGCTGGCACTGTCTCCTCATCAGGGAGCAGCGTCCCACTGTACCCAGCTTTCATTCTCTTGTCTGTCTTTTCTCAATCCTCTCCCCCCCCCGCCCCCCCCCCCCCCCGCCAACTAAGGATCACCTTTGGCTGTGCTGGCGTGGCACACCACTTATTACAAATAAACTAGAGCAGCGCAATATTTCTAAATAAAATATCAAAGGTAATCTATACAATTAAAAGGGTAATATGCTAATTAGACAGGACATCTTCCAGACATCCTTCTGGACAAAGCCACAGTGGTGGGGGCTGAGGCAGTGGCCAGCAGGGGAGAGCAGACAGGCAGGTGAGCAGTTAGGAGCCAGTGGTCCTGGATTGTGAGAGGGATGTCTGACTGCCGGCTGATTGCTTAAACCGGCAGTCTGACATCCCCTGAGGGGATCCCCGATTGAAGAGGGTGCAGGCTGGGCTGAGGGACTCCCTCCCCGTCCCATGCATAAATTTCGTGCACTGGGCCTCTAGTTAAATTATAATATTGTGTGTAAAGCAATGTTCCATAAATGGCTTATATGGATTTGTGTGTGTGTGTGTGTGTGTGTGTGTGTGTGTGTGTGTGTGTGTGTTCATTGGGTGATTGTACTTGTCTGATTGGGTGGAAACAGAGGTGAGAGCTGAGGTTGGAGGGTCTCATCTGGATGATCATGAACACCCTTCAGTTCAGAAAGTAGAGTCTGGATTTACCCTTAATTCAGGGAGGATCATGGAAGGATTTTGAGCAGAAAATGGACAGATTCTGAGATGAGGTTAGATTCCTATGTGGAGGGTGAACTGGAGAAGGGAGCTAAGAGCTTAGGAAGGTTGTGGACATGACGGCTGCCTTGGGGTGTGTGAAGGTGCCCTCCCTCCCTGCCTTGTTGACTGGGGACACCAAGGGGCCCTCAGGACAGTGAGCCCAGGGGTGGGGGAAGGAGGAGCCTGGGGGCTGTGCAAGATGCACCTGCTCCCACAGGGAAGCTCAGCACCTCCTCCTGGACCTGGGACACAGGTCCTACGTCTCACACAGGCTCCACCTGACTTTCTGTTTCTGTGAGCAGTGGGATATCTCCATGTCCTGGGGGCCAATCATTTGAGTCATTTCTGCCTCTGCAGAACACTTTTGAGGCCAGGTTTCACTCTGCTTTTCAAGCTGTAGAGACTCTTCAGGATTCAGAAAAAAATGACATTCATCACACACACACACACACACACACACACACACACACACGTTTAAATATCAGGTGTGGCACTATCACATCCTGAATAGTTGAAGGATACTTGAGCAGGCCACTTCCTCCCTTGACCTCATCGCAATACCAACGCTTCCCCCATAAATGTGGTGAGAATTCTTCTCGACTGAAACATGGAGGAAACAAAACCAGCCATACATGCAGATGAAGATGGTGGAGGTTTGAGAAATTGAAAAGATGAGATGCCTCGTCCAAAGGAGCAGAAGGAAGACTCCAGGTCAGTCAGACCTGCAGACAGATGAGACTCTGAGGATCAGGTGAGGCCTCAGATACTGCTGAGCTGCCTCCTGAGAGCCTGGAGTCCCCCTGAGCTCTCATCCGGGGAGATGCAGAGTCAGGTCCAGGGCGGGGCCATCTCCTGGCTGTGGGTCTGCAGCTGTGAAAACCCAGAAAGGCAACAGCAGCCCCTGACTCACCACATCCTGTGTGTCTTGGTCCTTCAGGCCCAGGCCTCCTCCATCTGCAGAGCCGGAGCCCTCAGAGCCATGACGTCCATCCTCTCTGCTCTTCTCTGCCTCGGTCACTTGTGGACCAGCAGCAGGAGGGGATGGGCAGGAAATTCTCCCTTGTTCTTGTGGAACCTCAAGCTCAGGCAGCTTGAGTGGACAGGGCCCTGATTGGAAGAAAATCAGCTCAGACGTCTGGGTAGAAAACTCTGACAGGAACTCTCTTCCAGGGCTGAGTCTAGACCAGAGGACCCGTGTGCAGGAAGGTGAGTCCTCCCCAGCTCCATGTCCCTCCTCTTATGTCATCCCCTGGGGCTCAGGAGGGAGCACAGAGGTGCTGGGATGAGGTGATACAATGAGAGTATTTAGGACTGTTCTGGGAGATGAGGGAGGGAAGGTCTTTGTAATGCAGCCTCTGGTTTCCTTCCAGAGACCCTCTCCAAACCCACCCTCTGGGCTGAGCCAGCCTCTGTGATCCCATATGGGAGCCCTGTGACCCTCGTGTGTCAGGGAAGCCTGGATGCCGAAAAGTTCTATCTGTATAAGGAAAGAAAACGTTTGCTTTGGAACACGCAGACCCGATGGGAGCCCATGAACAGGGCCAAGTTGTCCATCAAACAGATGGACTAGGACTTTACAGGGATATATCACTGTTACTATCACAGCACCACAGGCTGGTCAGAGCCCAGCGACTTCCTGGAGCTGGTGGTGACAGGTGAGAGGCCCTCAATGGTCCCAGCCTCAAGCTCTGCCCTCAGGAAGGGGGTCTGCTCTCAGGGTGTCTCCCTCTCACAGCCCAGCCCTGGGGGACATGAGGGAGGAGTGAGCCTATTTAACACACTGCCTCCTCCTCTCCTAGAAGCCTACAGCAAACCCAGCCTCTCAGCCCTGCCCAGCCCTGTTGTGACCTCAGGAGGGAACGTGACCCTCCAGTGTGGTTCAGGCCAAGGATTTGATGGATTCATTCTGACTAAGGAAGGAGAACACAGGCTCGCCTGGTCCCTGGACTCTCAGCCACAGCCCAGTGGGCAGTTCCAGGCCCTGTTTCGTCTGGGCCCCCTGACCTCCATTCAGAAGTGGACGTTCAGATGCTATGGCTGTTACAAGAAGGTGCCCCAGGTGTGGTCACACCCCAGTGAGTCCCTGGAGCTCCTGTTCTCAGGTGAGACATTCCCATCCCTACCACATCCATGTTTTGAGCGACCAGACTGGTTATTGGTATCTTTGCTGAGAGGGGAGCCTCCTGTGAGAGGGTGAGGTATGGCAAGATTCGGGGCTTCTTGGTCAGAGACACTGAGTGTGAGAGACACAGTGACACCTATGGGCCAGGACAGGAGAAGGGAGTTTATGGGAGGAGCAGCCCCTGTAATTCACATCTGGTCTTCCCATATGTCTCTGGGAAGCCCTCCTTCCTGACCCAGCAGGGCCCCATTGTGGCCTCTGGCCAAAGCCTGACCCTCTAGTTTCATTCTTTTTTTTTTTTTTTTTTTTTTTTTTTTTTTTTAATATATTTTATTGATTTTTCACAGAGAGGAAGGGAGAGAGATAGAGAGAGTTAGAAACATGAGAGAGAAACATCGATCAGCTGCCTCTTGCACATCCCCCACCGGGGATGTGCCCGCAACCCAGGTACATGCCCTTGACCGGAATCGAACCCGGGACCTCTCAGTCCGCAGGCTGACGCTCTATCCACTGAGCCAAACCGGTTTCGGCCCTCTAGTTTCATTCTGATGTCGGCTATGACAGATCCGCTCTGTCCAAGGAGGGGGGACTGGACCGCCCCCAGAGCCTTGTTCTGCAGCCCCAGGCTGGGCTCTCTCAGGCCCACTTCCCCCTGGACACTGTGAGCAGCTCCCACGGGGGCCGGTACAGATGCTCCAGTGGATACAAACTTTCTTCCAAGTGGTTGGCCCTCAGTGACCCCCTGGACATCTGAGCAAAGATACCAATAACTTGTATGGTTGTTGAGGATCTAGTGGCTTCAGTAAGACACCCAGACTCTGCACAGGCTGGGCTGTGGGGTGGGTCTCAGGTGGTGATAGCCAGGACAAGGGGTGTGGGCTCTCCAGGGAAGGAGACAGCATGAGCCATGGAATGGGAGCAAGGGGGATAGACTCAGGGAAAACAGAGACAGACAGAGCGGAGGGTCCTCAGAGAGAGGCCTGGTGACTCTCAGGTCAGAACAACATGGGCAGGCAGCCCTCACTCTCCCTCCCTCTCTTTAGGACACTTGCCTGACAGACCCTCCTTTTCAATGCACCCAGGCACCTTAGGAGAGAACGTGGCCCTTCTGTCAGTCGTAGATACTGAGGGACACTTTCCTTCTGTCCAAGGAGGGGGCGGCCAATCCCCTGCTTTTAGATCCAAGTTTTGAGCTCACCAGTACCAGGCAGAGTTCTCCATGAGTCCTGTGACCTTAGCCCACGGGGGGACTTACAGGTGCCACAGCTCACACAGCACCTCCCCCTTCCTGCTGTCACTCCCCAGTGAGCTCTCTGGAGCTCCTGGTCTCAGGTGAGGGGTCCTTGACCTACTTCTTTCTTTTCTTTTCTTTTTTTAAATTATATTTTTATGGATTTCAGAAAGGAAGGAAGAAGGAGAGAGAGAGATAGAAACATCTATGATGACAGAGAATCATGGATCGGTCGCCCCCTGCAAGTCCGCTACTGGGGATTGAGCCCACAATCCAGGCATGTGCCCTTGACAGGAATTAAACCTGGGACTTTCAGTTCGCAGGCCAACGCTCTATCCACTGAACCAAACCGGCTAGGGCTTGACCCACTCCTTTCTATGCTCAGTCAGCTCAGGGCCCTGTAATGAGACCCTGGGGGCTCCACCAAACAATAGGTTCCAGACCCTCCTAACTCTAATGTGCATCCACGGGTTCCTGCTCCCCAGGTTTTGAATAAGGGGGATCTCTCAGCTGTGGGGAAATGTCAAGGTCTTGCATTTAAGACAAAACACTGGAAAGGGCGCTCAATGTCTGTATTGAGTCAACTTTTTCTTTTTTTGGTGTACATTTTAATTTTTCTCTCTCCTTTTTATTGTTGACAGTATTACAACTATCCCCTGTTTTCTCCCTTTTTGGCTCCCTCTACCCAACACCCACCCTACCACAGGCCTTTGCCATACTATTGTCTGTGTCCATGGATATGCATATATGCATATATGTTCTTTGGTTAATCTCTTCCTGTCCCTCCTCCCCTCACCTCCGCCGACCCCCACTGATATCTGTCAGTCTGTTCCATGTATCCATACCTCTGGACCTACTTTGTTTGTCAGTTTATTTTGTTCATTAGATTCCACATATAAGTGAGATCATGTGGTATTTGTCTTCTCTAACTTGCCTATTTTGCTTACCATAATACTCTCCAGGTCTCCCCATGCTGTCTTAAAGGGTAAGTGATCCTTCTTTTTTTTAATGCTGTATAGTATTCCACGTTGTAAGTGTACCACAGCTTTTTTAATTTTTTTATTTTTTTATTCACTCATTTACTGATGGGCACTTGGGCTCTTTTCAGATCTTAACTCTTGTAAATTGTGCTCCTATGAACACAGGAGTGCATACATCCTTTCTGATTGGTGTTTCAAGATTCTTAGGATATATTCCTAGAAGTGAGATCACTGGGTCAAATGGCAGTTCCACTTTTAATTTTTTGAGGAAACTATATACTGTGTTCCAAAGTGGATGCCCCCCTCTGCATTTCCACCAGCCATGAAAGGTTCCTCTTTCTCCACAACCTTTCCAACACCTGTCACTTGTGGACTTATTGGTGGTAGCAATTCTGGCAGGTGTGAGTTGATACCTCATTGTCATTGAGCATTTTTTCATGTCTATCGGCCCTCTATATGTCTACTCAGGTCCTTTGGCCATTTTTTTAAATTGGATTTTTGTCTACCTGGTGTTGAGTTGTATGAATTCTTTGTATAGTTTGGAAATTAACTCCTTATTAGATATATCATTGGCAGTAGGTTCCCTTTTCATTGTGTTGACGGTTTAGTTTGCTGGGCGGAAGCTTTTTAATTTGATGTAATCCCATTTGTTTATTTTTCCACTGTCTCCTTGCCCTTGGTGATGCATCAGTGAACATCCTGCTTCGTGAGATATCTGAGATTCTACTGCCCATGTCTTCTTCTACAGTTTTTATGATTTCAGGACTTACCTTTAAGTCTCTTTTCCATTTTGAGTTTATTCTTTGTGTATGGTATAAGTTGGTGGTCTAGTTTTTTTTTTTTTTTGCATGTGCTTAGCCAATTTTCCCAACATCATTTATGAAGAGACTATCTTTGATGCTCTTAACTCCTTTGTCAAATATTAATTGACCAAAATGATGTGGGCCAATTTCTCAAGATTGCTGTTGCTATTCAGGGTCTTAGTGGGTTCCATATAATTTTTTGAACATTCATTCTAGATCTGTGAAATATGCTGTTGGTATTTTAATAGGGATTACATTGAATCTGTAGACTGCTTTGGGTAGTATGGACATTTTAATGATGTTAATTTTACCAATCCATGAACTTGGTATATGCATTCAGTTTTTGGTATCTTCCTCTATTTTTTTCAATGTCCTACAGTTTTCTGAGTGCAGATCTTTTACTGCCTTGGTTAAATTTACTCCCAGGTATCTTATTTTTTTGTTGCAATGGTAAATGGGATTGCTTTCTTTTAAATTTCTCTTTTTGAGAGTTCATTATTGGTGTATGAAAATGCTATCAATTTCTGGATGTTAATTTTGTAGCCTGCTACGTTGCCAAATTTATTTATGAAATCTAGCAGTTTTTTTTTTATGGCGTCTTTAGGGCTTTCTATGTACAATACCATGTCATCTGTGAATAATGAGAGTTTTACATCCTCTGTTCCAATTTGGATGCCTTTTATTTCTTCTTGTCTGACCGTTGTGGCTAGGACTTCCAGTTCTATGTTGAATAAGAATGGTGAAAGTGGACATCCATGTCTTGTTCCTGATCTTAAGAGAAATGCTTTTAGATTTTGTCCATGAGTATGCTGTTGGATGTAGATTTGTCATATATGGCCTGTATTATGTAGAGGCATGAGCCCTCTATTCTCACTTTGCTGAGAGGTTTATTTATTTATTTATTTTTTATCATCAATGGGTGCTGGATTTTGTTGAATGCTTTTTCTGAATCTATTGATATGATCATGTGATTTTTATCCTTCATGTTATTTATGTGGTGTATTACATTTATTGATTTGTGAATATTGAACCATCCTTGCATCTCTGGAAACAGAGCTACTTGGTCATGGTGTATGATCTTTTAAATTTATTGCTGGATCTGATTTGCTAATATTTTGTTGAAGATTTTAGCACCTATGCTCATCAGGTATATTGGCCTATAATTTTCTTTCTTTGCAGGGTTTTTATCTGGTTTTGGAATTAGGATAATGCTGAACTCATAAAAAGAGCTCGAAGTGTCACTTCCTCTGGAATATTTTGGAATAGTTTCAGGAGGATAGGTGTTAATTCTTCTTTGAGTCTTTGATAAAACTCACTTGTGAATCCTGTCATTATTTCTTTAAACAGGTTCTCTGTTCCTTGTTCACTTTCTTCTTCTTGTATCCCTGTGATGCAAATGTCGTTTCATTTGACATTTCCCAAAGTTTTCTTAAACTACCCTTTCCTTTTTGCTGCTCTAATTAGGTGTTTTTTCCCCACCTTATCATCCAAATCACTGTTTGAACTTCTTTCTCATTCATTCTACTTTTGATTCCTTCCAGTGTATTCTTGATATCAGATGTGATTTCCCTCATTTCATACTGGTTCTTATTCATGGTTTCTATTGGTTTTCTCATGCCATTGTAGTTCCCACTAAGTTCCTTGTAATTCTCGTTAAGCTCCTTGAGCATCCTTATAACCATTACTTGGCACTCTCAATCTGATAAATTGCTTGCCTCCAATTTATTTAGCTCTTTTTTCCCTGTAGGTTGCTCCTTTTCTTTAATTTGTGGGTTGTTTCTTCATTCCTCCTATTTTATCTGTCTCTTTGTATTTGCTTCTATGTATTAGAGAGATCTGCTATGACTCCCTGACTTTCTGGGATAGCCTTATGCCGTAGGTATTCTGTGGTACCCAGTGGCACAATCCCTTGGATATCTTGAGCTTTATGTTCTAGGAATGTGCCGTGTGTGTATTATATGGTCCTTCCTGTTGTAATTTGGTCTTGATTGCTGTTGGCCCATTGGTGTGTGGGAACAACCCTCAGGGAGGCTCACCGTGAGGCCCAACTCCAACCACACTGTGCAAATAATTGTACAGGTGCCAACATACTAAAACAAGAAAAACAAAGCAAAACTAAAAAACCCTTCACCAGTAACAACATAAATAAAAAAAGTAAGAAAAGAAAAAATAAAAGTAAAGTTGCAGAGCCCCCGATTCTAACTCCTCATCCATGGATTCTTGTTCCTCAGGTTTTGAATAAGTGGGATCTCTTAGCTATAGGGGAATAATATTATGGGTTCTTATATTTCAGACAAAACATTGAACAATAGCACTTAATTTCTGTATTGAAACAACTTTTCTTATTAATACTGAGCTATGGTGGGCAGCCAAATTCTGCTGCAAAGAGACTCCATGCAGGTTCCAAATTCAGAGATCAAGGCAGGCTAATAATAATCCAATGAGGAGACCAGGGAACCTGGCAGTGTAGAGAAAGAGCTCATTAAGAGACTGTGTAAAACTTATGATCTGAAAATTGGGGCCTCTGAGAGCACAGAACCTTGAAGGAAGGTTCGTGTCTCCCGAAGTCTTCACACTCTCATTTCATAATTCTCGGAGAGGCTGACACCACCGGCCCATCATAAAATAGGTCAAACCCAAAATCACTGAGTGGGAGAAGCTCTCACTTATGGGGCTGGGGAGGGGGCATGATAGAGGGTCATACCCTGTCAAGGAGAGGTGGGTTTCCTGTTTGGACAGCCAGGGTCCTGGGATTTCTCTGGTCTGCTCTGACGTCTGTGAACACTTTATCCACAATTCCTACTTCCCTCCCTGAAGACTGCACAGTGGAGAATCTCATCCGGATGGGCGTGGCTGGCTTGGTCCTGGTGGTGCTCGGGGTGCTGCTATTTCAGGCTCGAAACGACACCAGAAGGACCCTCCATGCAGCCAGGATGTGAACACAGAGGGAACAATGCACCGTTCAGAGTGGGGGAGCCCTGGAGCCCATCTGATGACCCCAGGAGGGGCTGAAAGAGAATGTGGACCATAATTGGGGAAAATGTCTGCTGAGAATGTCCAGGGGAGCAGCCGTGGTAGGCGAGGTTTGGGTGCAGGAGAACGTGGGTCATGTCCCTGTAGAGGACGCCTCCTCCATCCACCTGGGTGCTCTCCCTCCCTCCCTGTCCTCGCTCACTCTCCTTCACTGCCCTTCTGTTCTCACCCTGTGACGTGAGGGTCCATCCCACATGGCTGGTTTGGATTCACATCTGTACACCCCTTCATGCTGGGCCACATCCATCCCAACAAAATGAGGTATCTTCACAACCCTGGGATTAGTTTAAACCATAAAGGACAAAGGATGGGTACCTGGTACATTGTGGGAAAACATCATAATAATGCAGCTCAGTGACAGAAAGCGGGCGCATAAGGTCAGGGGTTGTGTGATTCCATTTATGCGAAATGTCCAGGAGAAGGAAACCCATAGAAACCGAAATCAGATTTTGTCTGGGGTTGACCAAGAGGACAGATAGGAGATGGACTGTTTGGTGTTTTTGTGGGGGGTTGGGTATAAATACTTCTTGAAACTAGATAGATGTTGTCATTGAGACATTGTGTATTTATTACATTCTAGTGAATTTTATATTTTAAAAGACTGAGTTGTATGTTATGTGACTGTTGCATCAATAACAATAAATGCAAGTGAAACACGCGTGGTTCCCTTCAGCTCCCTTATACCTTGGAGGTTGCCCCACTTGTGTCTGTGGAACTTTATAGGAGCAAGACTCCCACCAGGTCAGAGGTGCCCTAAGTGCTTTAGTGCTTAGGGACCAACCCACTCATTAAATTTCCACCTTCACTCCTGACTTGGGCTGAGTCTCGGTTCCAAAATGAGACCCATCACCCCTGCATCATTTTGTCTGCGCTCATCTGCCATTCAACCAAGGAAGCACTACAGCTTCTGATTCACCTTGTAGGCTTGGGGGACACACATGTGACTTCCAAACAGCCCTTCCCACCACACGTCTCTCATACATATGCTTTCATCAGGTCAGAAAATGACACCAGATTTCTGGCCAACATGGCTCAGTGGTTGAGCGTCGACCTATGAACCAGAAGGTCATGGTTTGATTCCTGGTCAGGGCACATGCTTGTGTTGTGGGCTCCATCCCCAGTGTGGGGCTTGCAGGAGGCACCCGATCAATGATTCTCTCTCATCATTGATGTTTCTATCTCTCCCTCTCCCTTCCTCTCTGAAATCAATATAATATATATTTATAAAAAAAGAAAGAAAATGACACCAGATTGGGGCCCTTCATGTCTCTGACACTGCTGATCCTCATAACAACCCTCAGAGGTGAGGTTTCACAATTTTGCCCAACAGGTGAAGAGGTAGAGGAGAAGAGACTGGCTCAAAATAGAAGTTCAATAAATGTGTCCCCAGGTCTTAGATTACAACCTGGGAATTGTCTCCAACATGCTCTTCTACCCAAAGCATAGAGATGGAATAAACAGCATAAGACAAAGAGGTACAGTCTGGGGGACAAGAGGCAGTGAGGAGGCAGAAAGGACTCTGAAGGTTTGATGGAGCGGGATGGAGAGCAGGAGCTCTGCTCACAGAGACAAGGAATCAGAGAGAGGAAGTGATAGGGAGAAGCAGCAGCACACACCCAGGCCTGGAGGGCAGTGCTGGTTGCCTCTGTGGGTGAGTTGACAGTTTTGTAACATCCCCCGGGCCTCCTGTTCCTCTTGGGTTCAGCAACCTTGGCACAGCCCCATTGGCTCCTGCAGGCAGCCAAGGTGGAGAGAGGAGGAACCCTCCATTCTCCCCTCTCTCCCCCTCACACACTGAACCAATCCCAGCATTCTGGCTCCCGGTTCTCCTTCCTGTGACCCAGTTCTCCCCACAGACAAGCTCAGGTGAAGACCCAGTGTTACAGAGTAGGAAATTTTTAGGCCTGCTTAATTATCTCGCCACCTCAGCAGCTTACAGCCTGTGCAAAGTTTCTAGGAACTGAACTTCCACACCTGAGTTATGGCCCCCAAAGAACACACAGATCAACACTCCTGGGCAACCAGCCCATAAAGAATAGACAGATCAAAATTAAGAAGAGTCCTGACCTTTAAGTTACCCAGAAACGAATAACAGGAGGAGGATGAATAGCTTGGCTAAAACTACGCAATTAGCTTTTGTAACTTGGCTTTGCTTGCTAGGGGAACCTGAACACGGATGTAGTGGTCCCCTTTAAATATTGGACTCTGCAGATGGTCGGGGCCGCTTCTCTCTTGGGCTTCCCGAGTGGAGGAGCGGACACTGGCCAGTCAATAAAGGCTCTCTAAATTTCAATCAGTCTGGAGTTCTGGTCACTCTGTCACTCGAGCTCCACAACATCAGGACAGCTCGTTGGTGTGACCAAATCAGCCTCCTTCTGGCCTCCTCCAGACGCTCACTGTTGGCTCAGGTATTTCCTTCTCATGGCCCCAAATATAGCTGTCACCGACCATCCCCTGCACAAAGCCTGTCCACAGGTCCCCACTGACTCCAGCCACATCCAGGGATCTCCACCCGGCAGTCCATGCTACTGACTATCAGGCTGGGTTACACTCTACAGTCCCGGTGAGGCCAACGCCTCCTCCAACCAAACTCATCCCGTGAACCTCCTGCCCTCCCCCAACACACAACCTGGGTTAGGACCACATCATGACCCCTCATAGGGCCCCCTGAGCCCATCTGAACAGAGCTCCCTCCTCTCCAAACCTCCTAGACCAAAAAAGAAAACACTTATTTCCAAAATGTATTCCCTACGTTTCAGAAATAAAGCAACAGGCTTTGCAATAATCAATGTGTGAATCAAAACAGAAGTGAATTTTTTAGATTAAATGATAATGTAACTATTACACATCAAACCTATGAAATGAAAAACCGTGTGTGCTTGTGTGTGTGTGTGAGCATATGTGTGAGTGTGTGTGTATGTGTGTGTGTGAGTGCGTGTATGAATGTGCATGTGTGTGTGAGTGTGTGAGTGTGTGTGTGTTCATGGGCAGCTATACCCATCTGTCTGGGGGAAGCAGAGGTGAGAGCTGAGGTGGGAGGGTCACATCTGGATGATCATGATCAGCCTTGAGTTCAGAAGGAAGAGTGTGGATTCACCCTGAAGACAGTGAGGACCATGGAAGGGTTTAAGCATAAACAGCTTCTGAAAGGGAGTGGCAAAGGCAGATGTGGAGGGTGAACTGGAGAAGGGAGTGAGGGTGTGGAGCTCAGAGCTCAGGAAGGTGGTGGACATGACTGCTCCCTTGGGGTGTGTGAAGGTGACCTCCCTCCCTGCCTTGTTGACTGGGGGCACCAAGGGGCCCTCAGGACAGAGAGCCCAGGGGTGGGGGAGGGAGGAGCCTGGGGGCTGTGCAAGATGCATCTCCTCCCACAGGTAGCTCAATGCCTCCTCTTGGCCCTGGGATGCAGGTCCTACATCTCACACAGGTTCCACCTGACGTTCTGTCTCTGTGAGCAGCGGGAACTGTCCATGTCCTGGGGGCCAATCATCGGAGTCATTTCTGCCCCTTCAGAGCACCTTTGATGCCGGGTGTCACTCTCCTCTTCCAACTGTGGAGACTCATCAGGATTCAGACAAGAACAACATTCATGGGATTCCTGTTCCAAGGCATAGCAACACACACAGACACACATTAAATATCAGTTGTGGCGCTACCACATCCTGAATGGTTGAAGGACACTTGAGCAGGCTACTTCCTCCCTTGACTTCTCAGCAATACCAACACCTGCCCCACAAAGATGGTGAGAATTTTTCTTGTCTGAGATATGGAGGAAACGAAACCAGCCATTCAATGCAGATGGAGATGTTGCTGTTTTGAGAAATTGAAAAGTAGAGATGCCTCGTCCAAAGGAGCAGAAGGAAGACTCCAGGTCAGACCCCTCGTGTGGAGGCACCTGGACCGTTCAGTGGGGAGGTCATGGTCATTTCATTGCATGGCGCTGGGCCAGTGGGTGAGTCTCTAGGACACGGTGAACATCTTACCTGCCTCACAGCATTTGCAATAAGCAATGCCAAGACATGAAAAGTCAATCAATTCCTATTTCTTTTCACCAAACTATCTTATTAACCTGTGAGAGAGAATTTTTTCTTCAAGAGGACACAAGAACACGAACTTAGGGGGATGGTTGCAGGTTTGCTCCTCAACCCTCATGTGTGATGCAACCAATTGATGTCTCTTGGACATCGATGTTTCTCTCTCTCTCCTCTCTGTCTCTCTCCATTTCACTCTCTTTACAAATCAATGGAAGAAAAATATCCTGGGGTGGGGATTAAAAAAAATTTTCTTTTAAAAGTGCTGACCTTTTAAATCATTGAAAAAATAAATGTACATCCAACCACAGGGTGGTACCAATACTTATACTGAATAATGAAAATTAAAAAGGCAGGAAACATAAAGCGTTGGCAGGAATGTGAACCTCCCAGGACCCTGGAATCAGGGAAAGTCATGGAAATGCTAAGGCCACTGGGAATCTGCTCAGAAGATCTATACTGATAAAAGGGTAATATGCTAATTAAACTGGACGCCCCTCCAGACAAAGTCATGTTGGCAGGAGCTGAAGCAAAGGTGGTTAGGGGCGACCAGGCTAGCAGGGGAGGGTGGTTAGGGGTGACCAGGCAGGCAGGGAAGGGCAGTTAGGGGTGATTAGGCTGGCTATGGAGAGTTGCTTAGGGTTGATCAGGCAAGCAGTTAGGTGAGCAGTTAGGAGCCATCAGTCCTGAATTGTGAGAGGGATGTCCGAATGCTGGTTTAGGTGGGATCTGGCCTAAAGTGGCAGGTGGACATGCCTGGAAAGGTCCCAGATTGGAGATGGTGTAGGCCGGGCTAGGGACCCCTTCTCCCCCCATGAATAAATTTCATGCACTGGGCCTCCAGTTCTTTCATAAATGAGCTCCCTCAAGAGCCATGGTCGGGTGTCCCATTGGGCTGTTCAGAGACAGACTCCCAGGGGCTGAGTCAGGACCAGATCCTGGGTCCCGCCCTCTCTGAGCAGGAGTCAGCCCAGCAGACACATGAGACCCTGAGGCTCAGGTGAGACCTCAGACACTGCTGACCAGCCTCCTGAAACCTAGACGCCCCGTGAGCCTCATCCTGGGGAGATGCAGAACCAGGCTCAGGGCGGGGCCCTCCCTGGATTCACAGCTGTGTAAACCCAGAAGGAGGCAGCAGCTCCTGACTCACCACATCCTGTGCGTCTCTGTCCTTCAGGCCCAGGTCTCCTCCATCTACAGAGCAGGAGCCCTGAGAGCAGATGCCATGACGTCCATCCTCTCTGCTCTTCTCTGCCTTGGTCAGTTGTGGTCACAGGGAGGGGGAGTAGGAGGGGTGGCTGCCCATCCTACTCCCCCAGGCTCAGGCAGCTCCAGTGGATGGGGCCCTGATGGGAAGGGAATCAGCTGAGACGTCCGGGTGCAAATCTCTCACAGAGACTCTCTTCCAGGGCTGAGTCTGGACCAGAGGACCCGTGTGCAGGCAGGTGAGTCCTCCCCAGGCTCCATGTCCCTCCTCTTACTTCACTCCTGGGGCTCAGGAGGGAGCACAGAGGTGCTGGGATGAGAGGGTCTTGGGCTGAGCTGGGATGGGGGTGGGAAGGTCTTTGTAAAGCAGCCTCTGGTTTCCTTTTAGGGACCCTCCCGAAACCGACCATCTGGGCTGAGCCAGGCCCTGTGATCAAATCAGGGAGCCCTGTGACCATCTGGTGCCGGGGAACCCTGGAGGCCCAGGAGTACCGGCTGTATGCAGGTGGCAGGTACTTGGACAGACAGAAGTCCCTGGAGCCTAGAGACAGGGCCAAGTTCCTCATTACAGGAAAGTATGCAGACAGATATACCTGTAACTACCTCAGCCCCACTGGCTGGTCAGAGCCCAGTGACCCCCTGGAGCTGGTGGTGACAGGTGAGAGGACACTTAGGGGTCCCAGCTTCAGGCTCTGCCCTCAGGAAGGGGGTCTGCTGTCAGGGTATCTCCCCTCATACAGCCCAGCCCTGGGGGACATGAGGGAGGTGTGAGCCTCATTTACCATGCTGCCTCCTCTGCTCCTAGGAGCCCACAGCAAACCCAGCCTCTCAGCCCTGCCCAGCAATGTCGTGACCTCAGGAGGGAATAGGACCCTCCAGTGTGGCTCAGTGGATAAATTTGACAGGTTCCTTCTGACTAAGGAAGAAGATCACAGGCTCTCCTGGGCCCAGTGGACTCACAGCGACAGCCCAGTGGGCGGTCCCAGGCCCAGTTCCATGTGGGCCCTGTAGCACCCAGCCACAGGTGGACGTTCAGATGCTATGGCTATTTTGAGAAGCAACCCCAGGAGTGGTCTGACCCTAGTGACCCCCTGGATCTAACGGTCTCAGGTGAGGGGCCCCTGACCTCATCCTCTCTGAGCACAGGCAGCTCAGGGTCCCGCCCCCAGGAGACATCTGAGGTTGGATGAGAGTGAGGGGTCTGAGTGTTGGTCACCCAGCAGAGATCTGCCCTCAGAGACCCTTTCACTTTTGCTGAATCCTCTCCATGAACTGGGTTGGGAAGTGGTTAAGTGGGCAGGGGGAGTGTCTTCGGGAGTCACAGAGCAGATGTAGGAGAAGCGACAGAGTGATTTGGAGACTCCAGAGTGAGCTCCAGCCTCACCCCTCTCTATTCTCATTTCCAGGACCCTCTGGAGGCCCCAGCCCTCCACCCACAGGGCCCACCTCCACAGCTGGTGAGTCCCGGGGAGCTCTGCTCAGAGGGAGCACAGCCCACCCAGCAAGTCCTGAGAGTCTGTCAGGGGTTCAAGTGACCCAGATCCTCAAGGACCGGCTTGTGTCCCAGGGAGGCTGGGAGTCCCAGGGTCTGAGGCAGGTGATGGGTGAGGTTATCATGGCAGAGGGGTATGTGGGGGCGCAGACTGGGGAGGGGGAGCTGGGCTCAAGTGGGAGAAGGCAGTTCCCACCACTCACCTGTCATCCTCATCCCCAGGAGGCTCTAAGTCAGGTCCCCAGAGGGGTAGGTGGGAGTCCTTGGGGAAATGGTGGGTTTCTCCATGGGGACAGGGGCTGAACCATGAGGGTTAAGGAGTTCAGGCCCCTTTGGATTCGTTGACTTGGATACACCTTTGCCCTGTCTGGGCTTCAGTGTCTCTAAGTGAAAGGAGAGAATCCTTGTCCAGAACTTAGATTTCCAGTCAGTTCTGGCCCTGACCTCCTGGGTGAGGGGCCTCACAGGGAAGCCCCCAGGATGTGATGTTACGGGGCCTGTCCCCTCTGTCTCAGTGACGGTGACACTGTACAGGGAGGGACATGCAGGACAAGGGTCCGGGCACCCAGTCCTCCCCCTCAGCTCAGGCTCAGCTCAGAGGAGGGAACAGGGTGGGTCAGCCCTGGCTCAGCTCCTGGCTCTGTTGCTCCTGCTGTGGGGCTGGGCGGTCCCTTCTCTCCTCTGAGTGTCGGGTTCCTGTCTGCTCATCCCTGGTCCCATCCTGCTTACAGGCTGTTGGGAGATGAGGTGACTTAGGGCCTCACAGAGCTCAGGAAGGCAGAGCCCCCAGCCCAGCCCGACCTTCCCAAGGGGGCATCAGGGCCTGCTGGGTGGGGATGGCTGAGGGAGAGACCCAGAGTCCAGTCCTCACCCTGCCCCTCCCTGTCCCTGCTGTGCTGGGGGCGGGTAATGAGGAAGGACCCTCAGCTCCAGATGAGACATGGACAGGACCCTGCAGAGGAGGAGCCCTGAGCACGAAGCTGGTGTCCCCCTGGGAGGCAGCGTGAGGACAGCACAGGGAACCCACAGTCTTGTGTTCCAGTCCCAGCCCTGCCCCGCCCAGGCTCAATGACCTGGGGCACGTGATTAACCTCTCTGAGCCTCAGTGAAGTGGGTGGTGGGGTCAGCATCCCTGGTGCATGAGGTGAGAGGAGATGAGTGACAGACCCCAGCAGGAGACTCACACACAGTAGGTGCTCATAAAATGGCATCACTGGCTCATTCATGACGTCATGAGGGGGAGATAGGCTGCCAGGTCTTTCAGGTCTGATTCCTTTCCTGGAGTCATCCCCAAACTCTCCATCTGGGCTGACCCAGGCCCCATTGTCACCAAGGGGAGCCCCGTGACCATCTGGTGTCAGGGGTCTCTGCAGGCTAGTGTCTACGTTCTGTATGAAGAGAGGGGCTCTGACCCCTTGGATATGAGGATCCCACAGGACTCCAACAATAAGGCCGGTTTCCTCACATAAGCTTGGACCTCACCCCACGCAGGACTGTACCAGTGTGCATATTACACCACTGGTGACAGGCTGCTGGTGTGACAACCCCGTGAAAGGCAGGGCCAGCATGCTAGTGACCACCACCTGTGTGTCTGTCTGTCCATCCTGCTGGCCCCACAGTCTCCTCCATCTCCTCAGCTGAGGCCACAGGGAGAAGACGCCCTGACCCCCAACCTCAAGGCTCTGCTCTGCCTCAGTGAGATGGGAGGAGGGGTAGGGGGGCCCTGGCCTGTCCGGACCCTAGGACACAGGAGGCTCATGGGGAGGAGGGATCTGCTCAGGGTTCAGGGCAAATCTCTCACAGGGACTCTCTTCCAGGGCTGAGTGTGGGCCTTAGGATCCCAGTACAGGCAGGTGAGTCTGTCCCCAGGTGTCCCAGGTCCCACTCTTCCCTGGGGACATGGGCCACCCCACAGGCAATAGGGGAAGTGGTGCAGATCTGTCTGACTGATGGGGGGCATCTGGGACTGAGAGCTGGGGACCAGGGATGGGAATGTCCTGTGACTCAGCCTCTGATTCTTTCCAGGGACCCTCCCCAAGCCCATCATCTGGGCTGAGCCAGGCCCTGTGATCCTCAGGGGGAGCCCCATGACCATATGCTGTCAGGGAACACGAAAGGCTAAGGAGTACCTAATTTATAAAGAGGGAAGCCCAGCACCATGGAAAAGAGAGAAGCCACTGGAGCCTGGGGACAAGGCCAAGTTCTCCATCCCACACATGACAGAGCGTGATGCAGGGATATATCACTGTTACTATCTCAGCCCCACTGGCTGGTCAGAGCGCAGTGACTTCCTGGAGGTGGTGGTGACAGGTGAGAGGACACTCAGGGGTCCCAGCCTCAGGTCCTGCCCTCAGGAAGGGGGTCTGCCCTCACGGTGTCTCCCTCTCACAGCCCAGCCCTGGGGGACATGAGGGAGATGTGAGCCCCATTTAACATGCTGCCTCCTCCTCTCCTAGGATCCTACAGCAAACCCAGCCTCTCAGCCCTGCCCAGCCCTGTCGTGACTTCAGGAGGGAACATGACCCTCCAGTGTGGCTCATGGCAGGGATTTGACAGGTTCATTCTGACTAAGGAAGGAGATCACAGGCTCTCCTGGACCCTGGACTCAGAGCCACAGCCCAGTGGGCAGTTCCAGGCCCTGTTCCCTGTGGGCCCTGTGACCCCCAGCCACAGGTGGACGTTCAGATGCTATGGCTGCTACAGGAACAGCTCCCAGGTGTGCTCACACCCCAGCGATGCCCTAGAGCTCCTGGTCTCAGGTGAGGCCCCCCCTCACCATGTCTTTCTGCTTGTCAGCTCAGGGTCCAGTCCTCAGAACAATCATGGGATGAAAGCGGAATGAGGTGGCTGTAGAGATGGTCACTTAGAAAGTATTTGTCCCTTAGACACAGCCTTACTCCTGTTCACCCCTCTCTCCCCTCTGTTGCCAGAATGTGTCTCAGGTGGACTGTGGGAGGGTCTTAGTGTGGGAACCCCAGGCAGATGCAGAAGTCCAAGTGAAGTGGGAACTCCAGGGTCAGCCCAGGCCTCCCACCTCTCCTGTTCTCCTTCCCAGGACCCTCTGGGACCCCAGCTCTGCACACATAGTGTCTTCTTTGCTCAGATGGAGACAGACCACCCCAGGATGTCTGAGTCTCTCAGAAGATCTAATGACCCCCCATAGACCTAAGGACAGGCTTGTGACCCAGGGGGACTGGGAGTCAGAGAGAGATCTCAGGGGAAGCACAGGCCTCCAGGGTCTCTGAGGATTCACCTCTCCCCTCCTCACATGGAGTCAGGCCTTAGAGAGGGAAGTGAGGCAGGTGGCAGGTGGGGAGGTCATGGCTGAAGGAGATGTTGGGGCTCAGGCTGGGGGAGGAGGAGTCAGGCTCAAGTGGGGAGAAGGCAGACCCTGCCCCTCGACTTTCATCTTGATCCCAGAAAGCTCTGAGCAATGGTCCCTCCTTCCCCTCCCCCAACCCAGGGAGTTGGGCCCACAGAGGGGAATTGGGATTCTCTGTGGGGAGGTGGTGGGTGCCTCCCTGTAGGGAGCAAGGGCTGAGTCATGAGACTGTTCTGGAACCTCTGAAGTCTCTCACTTGGACACACCCTTCCCCTGTCTGGGCCTCAGTGTCTCCAACTGTAAAAGGAGAGAATCCTTGTCCAGAGCTTAGAATTCATGTCAGTTTTGGCCCTGTCCTCCTGGGAGAAGGGCCTCACAGGGAAACCCCCAGGACGTGAAGTTATGGGGCCTGTCCCCTCTGTCTCAGTGATGGTGACACTGTACAGGGAGGGACAGGCAGGACAAGGATCCGGGAACCCAGTCCTACCCCTCAGATCAGGCTCAGCTCAGAGGAGGGAACAGGGTGGATCAGCCCTGGTTCATCTCCTGGCTCTGCTGCTCCTGCTGTGGGGCTGGGCGGTCCCATCTCTTCTCTGAGTGTCGGGTTCCTGTCTGCTCATCCCTGGTCCCATCCTGCTCACAGGCTGCTGGGAGATGAGGTGACATAAGGGCCTCACAGAGCTCAGGAAGGCAGAGCCCCAGCCCAGCCCAACCTGACCTTCCCAATGGGCTTCAGGGCCTGCAGGGTGGAGATGGACCCGGGAGAGACTCAGAGTCCAGGGCACACCCTTCCCCTCCTTTCCCTGCTGTTCTGGGGGCGGGTACTGAAGAAGGACCCTCAGCTCCAGATGATACGTGGACAGGCCCCTGCAGAGGTGGAGCCCTGACCAAGAAGCTGGTGTCTCCCTGGGGGGCAGCATGAGGACAGCACAGGGAACTCACAGTTCTGGGGTCTAGTCCCAGCCCTGCCCCGTCCAGGCTGGGCAACCTGGGGCAGGTGATTAACCTCTCCTAGCCTCAGTGAAGTGGAGGTCAGCATCCCTGGTGCATGAGGTGAGAGGAGATGAGTGACAGACCCCAGCAGGAGCCTCACACACAGTAGCTGCTCATTAAATGGGATCACTGGCTCATTCATGATGTCATGAGGGGGAGACAGGCTGTCAGGTCTTTCAGGTCTGATTTCTTTCCTGGAATCATCCCCAAACTCTCCATCTAGGCTGACTCAGGCCCCATCATCACCAAGGGGAGCCCCGTGACCATCTGGTGTCAGGGGTCTCTGCAGGCTAGTGCCTACGTTCTATATGAAGAGAGGGGCTCTGAGCCCTGGCAAACAAGCACCCCGCAGGACTCCAGCAACAAGGCCAGTTTCCTCAACAAGAGGGCAGAGAGGAGCTGGGAGGGGTCACAGACAGAGTCTCTGGAGAAGGACAAGGTCCCTCAGCTCAGGGTCAAGGGCGTGAGGGGAGGGGTGGCTCTCTACACATCACAACCTTCCTCTCCCCAGGAATGTACAGGAAACCCTCCCTCTCAGCCCAGCCGGGACCCTCAGTGGCCTGGGGAGCGACCGTGACCCTTCAGTGTGGCTCTGAGATCTGGTTTGACACCTTCCACCTGCACAGGGAGGGGTCACTGGACCCTCCCCAGCACTTTCATCTGCAGGACACATCTGCACCCTCTCAGGCCAACTTCACCCTCAATTCTGTGACCTCAGGCCACCAGGGGACCTACAGGTGCTATGGCTCACACAGCACCTCCCCCTACCTGCTGTCACAGCCCAGTGACCCCCTGGAGCTGCTGGTCTCAGGTGAGGAGCCCTGACCCTGTCCTTTCTGTGCTCAGTCAGCTCAGGGCCCTGTTCCTAGGAGTGTGGGTGACAGTAATAAACAAGGAGGTGGAGGAGGTTCTACAGAGCAGAGTCCAGCCCATGAGAGAGCAGAGACAGACGGGACCTCCCTCTCCTGGACCCCACTTCTGAACCTCAGCAGAGTTGAAGGGTAGGGAGGGCGAGTGAGATGTGAGTGAAATGAGCAGGCATGTGATTAGACTGAGCAGAGAACACAGACCCCCCCACCACTCACCTCCTGACGTCTTCATCTCAGAATCTGGGTCCCTGTAGTCCCAGCCCCCACTGGGCACTCTCCAATAGGGAAGCATCTGCCTGTGGGCACCACACTGCAGGGCCCCCTGTGCTCACCTGGAGGCCTCCAGGCCCTCAGTGCTCACCTGAGAACAAGGAGGGACCCTGCAGGGCTCATGGGGACCTGGGGCCTCCGCCCAGACTCTGTGCATTCACCTCTGCTCAGTGTCTCTGTGCACACGGGGCTTTTTTTTAGAGAACTTTCAGGCAATATTCCAGTCTATAAGCTCACGATTTAACTTACATTATATGGAGTCCAGATAGAAATAGAAATATCCTATTCCTCTTTTCAATGGGAGCAGGTTAAATCCAGACATTTTTTAATGAAGAATAACTTCTTGTTTATATAAAGTCTTCTTTTCACATACATTTTCAAATGAGCTTTATGCATGAACCTTAGAAGCATGTGACAGCTATTTGTAAAACTGTGTAAATGCACAGCCCACTTAGAGAATTGCCCCTCTAACATTGTAATTTGTGAGTAAGCGGTGTGATTCCTGTACATTTTCTAAATGGTAGTAAGTGCACATAGGAAAGCTCTTGGTTTGGGCATATTTATCTCACGACCTGTTAGCCTCCTAAAGACTCTCTCCCTGTGGACTGTTTTTCAGTTGATCCCTCCAACATGCTGATAAAATTATAATCCCCACCAGGCCAAGGAAATGTCACTTCTTTATTCCCAATGGCATACCTATTTTTCTCACTCCACACCTAATGCAATGAAATGAGGAATTAAAATTTTCCAGAGTTTCCCCTCTGGAAATCAGCTTAACTCACATAGTAAGTTATGTCAAGGCAAACCCATTAAGAATTCTACATTTTATATCAAAGGCACTATTGGCCTCTTTTTTCCAATCTGTTCTTCTGCTGCATTAGGGCTCACTAAGAATGCTTTTTTCCCTGCCACATACACATACCCCCTTATTATCTTTTCTCTGACTTATAACCACATGACACACATTACAAAGGCTTCTTGGCATCACCCACTTGGATATTAACCCAACTGAGTAACACTGATCATTGATGTGCATTTCTGAATTGTGGGAGCTGGGATTAGAATTATTGCATGGATCACTGTAATGAGGAGAGGCCCATAATTTATGTTTATATCTTGGGTTTTATATGAAAACTAGAGGCCGGGTGCACGAAATTCGTGCAGGGGGGTGGGGTGGGAGGGGTCCTTCAGCCTGGCCTGCACCCTCTCACAATCCGGGACCCCTTGGGGGATGTCCAACTGCCAGTTTAGGCCCAACATCCCTCTCGCAATCAGGGACCACTGGCTCCTAACTCCTCACCTGACTGCCTGCCTGATGCCCCTAACTGCCTCTGCCTCAGCCCTGCTGCCACAGCTTTGTCTAGAACAGCGGTTCTCAACCAGTGGGTCACGACCCCTTTGGGGGTTGAACAACCCTTTCACAGGGGTCACCTAAGACCATCTTGCATATCAGATATTTACATTACAATTCATAACAGTAGCAAAATTACAGTTATGAAGTAGCAACGAAAATAATTTGATGGTTGGGGTCACAACATGAGGAACTGTATTTAAAGGGTCAGAAGGTTGAGAACCACTGGTCTAGAAGGACATCCGAAAGGTTGTCCAGCTGTCAAGTCTAATTAGCATATTATGATTTTATTATTATAGACTAGAGGCCCCGTTCATGGATTTGGGCACAGAGGGGGTGCAGAAGGAAGGGGGATCCCTCAGTCTGGCCTGTGCCCTCTCACAATCCGGGACCCCGCAGGGGATATAGCAGTGTGCCAAGTGGCAAGTGGCCAGGGAGGAGGCTGAGCGTGTGTCGGGTGCCACACCATGTTCATCCTAGCTGCTGCACCTGCCACAGCTGCTCAATAGCCCTGCCGCAGAGTCGGAGAGGCTCCAGACACCGCAGCTGACATCAGCAGCCTTGAGCCCGGCTTCTGACTGAGCAGCGCTCCCCCTGTGGAAGCGCATAGACCACCAGGGGGCAGCTCCTGCCTTGAGCATTAGCCCCCTGGTGGTCAGTGCACACCATAACGACTGGTCGACCAGTTGTTCTTGTCAATCGGTTGTATCAGTTGCTGAGGCTTTTATATATATAGATGGTGTAGCAGATTGACATAATTTCCTACTTTTGCTGCTCAGTAAATATTGAAATGAGGGGGATTTTCTTTGTGACTTAAATTTGAAAAAGAACTGAGGACTTCCTTGGTTTTGAACTTTGTTGTCATTTGAAATAAAATGATCACATGATCAGCATCCACATACCCATATTTTTCATCTGGAAAATATATCTACAACTGTAGGTATTTGTTATTGTAAAATAAGGTGAGTTAATAAAAGAATCGATAGATGAACAACTTCAAGTGAAGATGAACATAGCAGACCCATGAGAGGAGGAGCCTGTGTGAGGTGGAGTGAAGGAGACCCAGCCCAGACTTTCACCCCTTCATGCTCCTAAGATTCAGGAGCCCCTGACACCAACCCCTCCTCCATGGAACCTGGGTCCCCAGCTGTTGAGAAGGTGGGATCTCTCAGTTGTAGGGGAATAAGCTCATGGGGTCTTGATCCTCAGACTGAACACAGAACACACAACTCTTAGTTATTTCTGAACTGAGACCATTTCTTACTCATCCTCAGTTCTTGGGCACAGCTAACTCTTATCAAGGTGAGTCAGAGCAGGTGCAGAGTTCAGACATCAGAGGGACGCTGATGTCAAGGGGAGGTGGGAGCCCAGGTTGAACATCAAAATCCTGGAGATTTGGGTCTACCCTGACCTCTGAGACTTCTTTACCCACAATTCTTATTTTCCCATCCCTAAGACTACACAGTGGAGAATCTTATCCGGATTGTTGTGGCTGGCTTGGTCCTGGTGGTCCTTGGGGTGCTGCTATTTGAGGCTCGAAGTGACACCCGAAGGGTCCTCGATGCAGCCAGCATGTGAACACAGAGGGAACAATGCATTGGGGAGCCTTGGAGCCCATCTGAGGATCCCAGGAGGTGCTGAAGTAAAGTTGGGACCATAGTTGGGGAAACTGTCTGTTGAGAATGTCCAGGGGAGTAGACATGGTAGGTGAAGATTGGGTGCAGGAGAACGTGGGCCATGTCGTCCTCCATCCACCTGGGTGCTCTCCCTCCCTCCCTGTCCTCGTTCACTCTCCTCCACTGCCCTTCTGTTCTCACCCTGTGATGTGAGGGTCCATCCCACATGGCTGGTTTGGGTTCACATC